ATGACCCCTTGCTCTCCCCCACTTCGCCTATGGGGGTGTGTCAAACATTATATATGTTGTGTTTGTTTAGGCTACAGTGGGTTAGCCTATAGGGGGTACACAATTCTAGGGTTAGGTACTTGTACTGATTTCACTGTTAGTTCAACCATTCCTGTCCGTTCATTCTGACAGTCACAGTCTAGTTAATACCGCGACCGCATGGAAATTACAACTGACACTTAGCCGCCGCTTACCCGAGATACATGCAGGTTTAGTTGACGGTACGCCACTGTCCATACGGGTGAAGGTGGAGAGAGTAAAAGTCGGCTGCGGGGGGGACCTTCGGGTTTACACAGGAAATGCTCGCGACGACACTGGATGGGCACGACATTTTACTGGAATTGAGTGGATGACGGGTAGCTGCACTGTACGAAGTAATGGTAACTGGGTCGAACTACCTTGCTGGCGAACACCCGAGTCATCAACGGTCCAAGTCAACGCCATCACGATGAAATGCGCAGTTGTCGCTGGAGCTGACATGTACGTAGTGGATATCGCGGTGGTGGAAGAAGCAGAGGCGCCGAGCGATTTTTAGAAACTAAGGGAGGCGGTACCACCCGAATTACATGAATTACTGAAATAGAACCGAGGGGTTTTTCCTGATGACTTGCCGGAGGGACTGCCACCTCAGTGAGCACACGACCACCGCATAGAATTAACACTGGGGGCACAGCACTGTACAGCGACAGTTCAGACTTACACAGCCCGAGCTTGACGAACTGAGAAAGCAGTTGGATTACCTGTTAGAGAAAATGTTCATCCAACCGATCTCGTCACCGTTTGCTGCACCGATACTGTTCACGCCGAAAAAAGACAGGATTTTGCATGTGTATTAACTACCGCGCACTAAACCAAATAACCATCAAATTGCGTTACCCTACCCCTCGTGCTGACGAACTGATAGATCAACTGCGAACAGCTCATGTGTTTTCGAAGATTGACTTACAGGAAGGTTACCACCAGATTAGAGTCGAACCATCGGACTGCGCCAAGACAGCTTTTAGGACTAGGTACGGGTCATTCGAATACACAGAATTGCCCATCTGGCTGACCAACGAACCGGTGACTTTTCAGATGACCACGAACGGGGCGTTTAGGCCATTTTTAGATAAATGCGTCATAATTTGTCAACACTTTAGATTTAGAAGGAATATTTAAAATCCTAGACGAAAAACTGCCTACTGACGAAGGGCTTCACGTGCGAGATTTTTCAGGATCAGTTAGAATTTATGGGGCATGTCATTTCGGAGGGTGGAGTCGAGATTGATCCGAAAAAGTTAGACACTGTAAAAGCGTGGTGTCCCTTGACCAACATCACGGAATTATGTCCCTAGAGTTTTCCCTAGCGTGGTGTCCTTAGCGTGGTGTCCCTAGAGTTTTCTAGGGTTCGTTAATTACGTCCGTCGGTTCGTCCCCGACATGGAGTGCTTAACGGTCACACTGACCGATTTATTGCAGAAGGTAGTGATCTTGACATGGGGGGAGAAAGAGCATGTTTCCTTCTCTACCTTAAAAGCTCTTCTGTGCTCGCCGCCCGTCCTACGCATTGCCGACCCTCACCGCCCATTCGAAGTAGTTACAGACGCAAGCGACATTGCCATCGGAGCCGTACTGCTACAGGATTTCGACAACATCCTACAGCCCATCGTTTACGGGTCACAAAAACTACGTCCGCTGGAGAAGAATTACCCGATGCACGACTGCGAAATGCTCACTATCGTATATGCGTTCAAGGTTTGGCGCTGATACTTGACCAGCGCAGACGTAACGGCACGGATAGACCACAAATCACTACAGTACCTCCGCGCACAGCCCCACCTCAACCGACGATAGGTTCCTTGGGTCGACTTCCTCGAGTCCAATTTTTATTACACAGTCACCTACAAAAAAAGGGGGCATCGAACATCGCCGACGCACTGACCTGCCCGATTGCCCAGATCCACGCCATACTACTCACAAAGATCAGTCCGCTAATGAGAGAACTATTTACCCACGGTTATCAAACAAACCCGTTCTTCACCGGAGGCAATTCGCAGCAGTTTGCAGCAGCCAAGGGAGTCTATTACGTAAAAGTTGGCACCGATAACATCTGAATACCGAGCTACACTTTACTAAGGGAGCTGCTACTACAAGAGGCACACGACAGCGTTACCTCAGGTCATTTCAGAGTAGAAAAAACCCAGCAGCAGCTGCAGTGGTACTATTACTGGTCCGAGATGTTGACCGTCGTGCAACGACACGTGGCGTCTTGTCCCACCTGCCAACTCATGAAATCATCACGACAGTGGCCGGTAGGTCAGTTGCTGCCGATACCACCCCCAGAGCGTGCTTGGCAGCAGGTGACGATGGACTTCATCACGTGGTTACCGGCTGGAACTAGCAGGAACGATGCGATTTTGGTCGTCGTCGATCGGCTGACGAAAATGGCACACTTCGCAGCCTGCAAGAAGTCAATCTCGGCCGCAGAAACAGCTTAGCTCATCTCCACCGTCGTTCGCTTGCACTGGATACCAGCAGCGATCATCAGCGACTGCGACACGAAATTCACCGGCATTTTCAGACGGAACCTGTGGCAGCAGCTCGGCACGCGACTATAGTTCAGTTCATCGTATCACCCCGAAACCGACGGACAGACAGAACGGACAAACCAGACCATGGAACAATTAATCCGAGCCACGTGCGACGATCCAACCACGTGGGAACAGCAACTGCCACTCCTTGAATTCGCATACAACAACTCCCCACCCGCCACAACCCAACAGTCGCCATTCTACCTGAACTACGTACAAGACGCCACAGTACCCATGACCCCGAATCCCAACAATCCGGTGCCACGCACGCAACAATTTGCAGAAATTATACAGGCAGCACGGACACGAGCAGCTGACGCAATTAAAAAATCGAACATCATCGCTAAGCGCAACGCCGACTGCCACCACCACCCTGTCACTTACCAGCCCGACGACCTCGTTCTCCTCGACACCCAAACCCTCCGCCTTCTCGTCACCCCAAAACTCCGCCCCCGAAATTGCGGGCCATTTCGCATCAGCCACATGATCACACCTGTCACCACCCATCTCGTCCTCCCCGCTAATTGGTACGTCAGCCTGCTTCACCCATACGTCCCATCCACCAGCCAACTGTCTCGCAACCACCAAGCCAGCATGACCCGATCGCCAATAGAGCCAATCACCACGCCCGAAAAAATACTGAGCCACCGAGTACGTGACCCACGGGGGGCCCACAGGAGGACTACATGCGCAGCCGCAATTTCCGGGATGTACACGCGCTCTCGTAATGGGGGCCCCCTTACCGGGGGGGGGGGGGGGGAGGGTAGTGTAAGGAAAATTACTTTTTTCTTACGCCGCATCCCTTAGCGCCACACTGTGCACCGTTACCACTCGTGACACTCGCCTCGACCATATTCCCGCCACTACACCCGTCGCAACCCGAACACACGACTCGGCTGGTAACTCGCGCTCAGGGCCTCCGTTTCGACATTTCCCGACCTCAGTCCTAACCTCAGTCACAGACCCATCGCGCACCTCTCACAGTTCATTACCGTTACCACTATGGGATTTCGCTAAATAGTTCTCACTCAAGCCTTACCTCAATGTATTGTTTTGCTTCGATAGTGCAATTCTCGCTCGCTCGCTCAATTGCACTTGTAATAGTAGACAAGAACATATTCGGGGCTGTCGCAAACAAGCAACTAATGAAGAAGTGATTGTCAAACATTGTATGTTTATATTGTGTAGGCTGTAGTGGGTTACACCTTAGTGATTGTGATTGTCAAAGTTAGGGTTTCCTACTTCCTACTTGTACCAAACTCTGTGCTAGTTCATTCATTCCTGCTCAGTCATTCTGACATGGTTTCAGAGCAGGTCCTTCGCTAGGACCTAATTTCTCTTCGGGCCCACCGCTACTTACTCTCTACTAGCGCCCTCGTGCGCCCTACTGTCGGAGCGCGCCTTAGCGCCTCCCCCTAGCGCCCTCGCGCGCTTTTCTTTTTTTTTCCCCGGCCCCGCTGGCCCCGTCGACCGCGCGCGCGCCCCGCTTAGAGGCCCCGCTGGCCCTGTCGACAACGCGCGAGCCCCGCTTAGAGGCCCCGCTGGCCCCGTCGACCCCACGCGCGCCCTGTCTAGAGGCCCCGCCGGCCCCGTCGATCCCGCTCGCGCCCCACCTAGCGGCCCCGCCGACCCGTCGACCCCGCCCGCGCCCCGCCTAGAGGCCCCGCGGCCCCGTCGCCCCCGCTTGCGACCCGCCTAGAGGCCCCGCCACCCCGTTGACCCCGTGCGCAACCCTCCTAGAGGCCCCACCGGCCCCGTCGACCCCGCGCGCGCCCCGCCTAGAGGCCCCGCCGGCCCCGCTGTCCCCGCGCGCGCCCCGCATAGAGGCCCCGCTGGCCCCGTCGACCAAGCGCACCGCCTCTTCGCGGCCCCGTCGCTACTGCTGCTAGTACTGCTGCTACTACTATTGCAACTACTGCTACCGCTACTGCTGCTACTGCTACTGCTGCTGCTACTATGGCTAGTCCTCCTGTACTCGCTTTCGATGCTGAGGGCCGCCCAGTGAAGTTCGACACCTGGCTAGATGACCTGCACCTCTTCCTACAGCTCACTGCCAAGGAGGACGTCTCACTGTACGATCACGCCCTAGGCCATGCTACTGCCCCTGATACTTCTGCTGACAGCACTGCCCGCTCACAGTGGCAGACTCGTGACGCCCACGCTCGCTTTGCTATTCGCAACTCCCTGCCGATAGATGAGCGCGAGCACTTTGGCCAGCACAAGACTGCTAAGGAACTGTACACTGCTGTAGTTGCTCGCTACTCCTCGCCTGCTTCTGCCGCACTAGGCCGCCTCTCACTCCCCTACCTGTTCCCCGACCTAGCCTCCTTTCACACAGTTGCTGACCTCATCACCCACCTCAAGACTAGTGAGGCCCGCTTCCGCGCTGCTATGCCCGATGAGTTCCTTGCTAGGAACCCCCCCCCGCTCTGGCTCACTCTCTACCACATCGTCACCCGCCTCCCTGACTCTCTGCGCGCAGTCAGGGATCACTTCCTAGCTCGCTGCCCCACTGAGCTCACCATTGCCCTCCTCGAGAAGGAACTACTTGCAGCTGAGGCGAGCATCGTCGCTGTAGGTGCCTCTCGTGGCGACCCCCGCACCCCTTTCTTTGAGGGGTGTTCCCCTTCCCCCCTTCTCCCCTCTGTAGCCTCTGCTTCTGCTGTCGACCTCCTTGGTGCTGAGAAGGTCGGGACGGCGTCTGCTCCGAGCGGGCGCCGCAGGAACAGAGGGGGCAGGGTGGAGGTGGCGGTGGGGAGGCAGGGTGGAGGCGGTGGGAGTGGAGGTGGGGCTGGAGAGGCTAGTGGCGGCAGTGGGGGTGGTGACGGCAGCGGCGGGGGCGGTGGCAGGGGCGGGGGCGGCAGCGGGGGCGGCGGTGGTCGTGGCAGCGGCAGGGGAGGAGGTGGTCGAGGAGGTGGCGGCGGCGGTGGTGGTCGTGGAGGCGCTGGCGGTGGTCTGAGCCAGCAGCACACTCCGTCGCTCCAGGAGGCCCGTGAGTGGTATTCGCAGCGCCGGGGGGCGGGTGGCTTTAGCTGCACGTACGTCATCCGCACTGGTACCCGCACTGGTCAGCCGTGTGGGAGGCCACACCCCTCGCAGCGCTGTTTCTCGCGCCTTGACGACGCTTGGCGCACCCAGTTCCCTGATGCCACTGAGCTGCCCCGCTGGGCTGATCTGGAGAGGAAGGGAGTTGATATCTGGGCTCTAGACTTTGATGCTATTCTCACTGCCATGTATGCGATGTTTACTAGTGGAGAGGGTGCTCAGTACTTGCGTGTTCCGCCCGACCCGGGCATTCTGACCAGTGAGGCTGCCGCTCTAGGTGCTAGTGAGACTGCCACTCCAGGTACTCGCGTGTCTGCTACCTCAGGTGATGGTGAGGCTGCCGCTCTAGGTGCTAGTGAGTCTGTCCCCCCTGGTACTGAGTCGACTGAGGCACTGCACACCTTCACCCTAGACTCAGGTGCTTCTCGCTGTTTCTTTCGTGACCGCACTGCCCTTGAGCCGCTTGCTCGGCCAGTTGCTGTCTCCCTCGCTGACCCCTCTGGGGGTCCGGTCATTGCGACCTCCTCTACTGTTCTTCCCTGTCCTGCGGTCCCGTCGGGCACACTGTCAGGTCTCCACCTCCCCTCGTTCTCTACGAACTTGGTGGCGGGTTGTGCACTCCAGGATGCGGGTGTTCACCAGTTCACCCCTGCCTACGAGCGCGTGACACACTGCATGTGTGCTCGGACGGGCCGTCACCTGGCTACCTTCACTCGGCAGCCGGGGTCGGACCTGTACACATTGACCACTGAGTCCCCTCAGGTAGCTGCGTCCGCGTCTGCGTCAGGTCAGCTGTCGGCCCCCTGCTCGTGTCGCAGGGTTCTCCCTCCCCTCCCACCCTCGCCTGCTCCTTCCTGTCTTCCCTGTGTCGAGGGGCGGCAGCGCGCCGCTCCTCACTCCTCCTTTCCCCCGACGACTGCTCCCTTGCAGACGCTCCACCTGGACGTGTGGGGCCCAGCCCGCGTTCGTGGACAGGGTCAGGAGAGGTACTTCCTGATTGTTGTTGACGACTACTCGCGCTACACCACGGTCTTCCCCTTGCGTACCAAGGGTGAGGTCCCTGATGTCTTGATCCCTTGGATCCGCAGAGCTCGTCTCCAGCTCAGCGAGCGTTTCCGCTCGGACTTTCCTGTCCTACCTTTGCACTCTGGCAGAGGTGGTGAGTTCTCCTCCGACCTCCTGGCAGCCTATTTGTGCGGACCACGGCATTGAGCAGTCGTTCACGCTTCCGGCCTCTCCCCAGCAGAATGGGGTTGCTGAGCGCCGCATTGGCTTGGTCATGGAGGTCGCTCGTACCTCCTTGATCCATGCGGCTGCCCCCCACTTTCTGTGGCCGTTTGCTGTCCGATACGCTGCGCATCAGCTCAACCTCTGGCCCCGAGTCTCCTTGCCGGAGACTTCCCCGACACTGCGTTGGACGGGAGAGGCTGGCGATGCGTCGCGTTTTCGGGTCTGGGGATCCCGAGCTTTTGTTCGCGATACGTCCGCGGACAAGCTCTCCTCTCGCGCTGTTCCTTGTGTCTTCCTTGGCTTTGTCCCGGACGCGCCTGGTTGGCAGTTTTACCACGTCACCTCGCGCCGGGTTCTGCCTTCTCAGGACGTCACTTTTGACGAGTCCGTCCCCTACTACCGCCTCTTCCCCTACCGCACTGCCCCGCTCCCCCCCCCCGCCTCTCTTCCTCGCGCCAGGTGCTGCTGTGGTAGACCCCCTCCCCCCTCAGGGTGCCGCTCCCTCAGGTGTGTCCCAGGTAGACCCGGTTGAGCCTGTCGAGGTAGCTGTCGACTCTCGTCCTGCTAGGGGTGCTGAGCCTGCGCGTGAGGAGCCTGGCGGTGCTGAGTCTGGGGGTGCGGAGCCTGGGGGTGCTGAGCCTGAGGGTACTGAGCCTGGGGGTGCGGAGCCTGGGGGTGCTGAGCCTGAGGGTGCGGAGCCTGGGGGTGCTGAGCCTGGAGGTGCTGAGCCTGGGGGTGCGGAGCCTGGGGGTGCTGAGTCTGGAGGTGCTGAGCCTGGGAGTGCTACACCTGGAGGAGCCCTCTCCTCACAGCAGCTGCAGGAGAGGTACCTACAGTACTGCATGCGGAGATAACTCTAGCAACGGGAGCTTTACTACGGGCTAGGCACGGGTGCTCGTGTGATCTCTGCGTTCTCGGTTCCTTAGTCGTTTTCCTAGTGCGCACACTACTTGCTAGTTCACGGGGCAAAATGGCAAGAGTTTCACTAGAGAAAATTGACAACAATCATCTAAAGAAGTTGGCAAGGCAAGACTACATCAGAGCTAGCATGCAAGCAGGACGACTGCCAGCGCAGCACGGTCGACCGCGCGCCAGCACAACTTGGTCGACCGCGCTCCAGCAGCGCAGAGTCGCGGCTTGCCAACACTGCAGGTCGACGGCGTGCCAACGTCGCAGGTTGACGGCGCGCCAACGTTGCTCCCGCAGGACAGCAGCGCACCTACTTCGCAGGTGCTCGCAGACGATTGGCGTGCAGTGCCTCGTCACCTACACAGCGCACACACCACATCAACTTCGTGCTGACGACTGCTCCTGATGCACCACGTCGACCTCGGGATACCATCACCGAGGTCGTCCTCGCCAAAACCACCTGGGCGACCATCGCAAGCCTTCGCAGCACCTCGTCACCCAGGTAACCTGGTCGACCGGGCAACCAGGTCGACCAGAGGCTCCAGTGCGTGCCCGTCGACCACCCAGGTCGACGACCACTTCCGGTCGACCTCCCAGGTCGACCACTCCCTCTGGTACGTGCCAGTCGACCTCCCCAGGTCGACCACTATCCCCTGGTCGACCAGCTCCAAGTCGACGTCACTCCTGGTCGACCAGAAGGCCTGGTCGACTTACCAGGTCGACCAGAAGGTCTGGTCGACGTCCCAGGTCGACCAGAAGGGGTTGGTCGACGTCCCAGGTCGACCAGAAGGGCTGGTCGACGTCCCAGGTCGACCAGAAGGGCTGGTCGACGTCCCAGGTCGACCAGCCGAAGTTGGCGCCCTCCTGAAGTGGACGCACATGCAGTGGCTCCCCGTGCAGGTCGACCAACCTCGTCGACCAACTCGCCCACTGCTGCAGGTCGGCTGCACCCTACACCCGACCACGAAGTCGGCTCCGCCCAAGCGAGGACGGGGCCAACACCCAACTCCCGTTGACACTGCAGCCTCAGGAGAGGTGCTGCTGGAGCTGGTACCAGTGCTTCCCCTCCTACCCGGGAGCTCCCCTCCCTTCAGCAGATCCGAGAGTGGTACACGCGGCGCTGCAGTCTTCGGAGTGGCGCTCCTGGTGTTGCGGACCCTGGTACTGCAGGGGCTACTGGTGCTGAGGAGCCGGGCGCTGGAGCTGCTGCTGGTGCTGAGGAGCCGGGCGCTGGAGCTGCTGCTGGTACTGAGGACCCGGACGCTGGAGCTCCTGCTGGTGCTGGGGACCCGGACGGTGGAGCTGCTGCTGGTGCTGAGGACCCGGGTGGTGGAGCTGCTGCTGGTGCTGAGGACCCTGACGTTGGAGCTGCTGCTGGTGCTGAGGACCCGGACGTTGGAGCTACTGCTGGTACTGAGGACCCTGACGCTGGTGTCTCTACTGGTTCTGGAGACGCTGCGCGGCCGCGACCTTACTTCGTGCCGCTCCTTCAGCAGGTTCTTGGTCAGACTCCTCCTCCTTGTCCTCCTTCCTCCTTAGAGTGTCCTTCGTCTGTCCAGTCGCAGTCACAGTTACTGCCTGCCTCGCCTCTCCCTGGTCCCTCCCCTTACACTGGTCCCACAGGAGGTCTTACAGAGCGTCGTGAGCCTGAGTCTCGTCCTGCGTCGCCTGTTCGTACTGCTCGCACTGGTCGTCGTGTCCCACGTGAGCGTCCTCCTCCTGTCCCTGGCACTCACTACATGACTCTGCGTCCCTCCACTGCTCCTCAGCGTGTCCCTCTACCGTCTCCTCCTGCGTCCTCTCTACCTACTCTTCCTGACCCGGAGTCTGACTCCCGTCGTGCTGCCAGTCCCACTGTTGGTTGACTTTGCTGCCCGGTGTCGTCTAGACTACGCCGCTAGTCTTGTTGCTGAGTCTGAGTCTGTCTGTCCTCCGTCCGTCGGGGGTGAGTGTGCTCTTGGCACGGACGTCCTTGAGGACAGACAGGAGGAGTTCCAGTGCTTTGCTGCTGCTTTGCCCCATCTCGTGTCCATGCTAGTTGCCCCTGAGGGAGACCCGGATGCACCAGACATCCCGACCCCACGCTCTTATGCTGAGGCGATAGCGGGTCCCTACTCCTCTCAGTGGCAGACAGCCATGGACGCAGAGATGGCTTCCTGGAAGTCCACAGGCACCTACGTTGACGAGGTTCCCCCACCTGGGGCGAACATCGTCAGTGACATGTGGATTTTCAGGGTGAAGCGGCCGCCGGGTTCTCCTCCTGTCTTCAAGGCGCGCTACGTTGCTCGAGGCTTCAGTCAGCGAGAGGGAGTAGACTTCTTCCAGACCTTCTCCCCCACCCCGAAGATGACCACTCTTCGGGTGCTGCTGCACATAGCCGCTCAGCGCGACTACGAGCTTCACTCACTTGACTTCAGCACTGCTTTCTTACAGGGCAGCCTGCACGAGGAGATCTGGCTGCGTCGCCCTCCTGGCTTCACTGGGTCGGTAACTCCTGGTACCCAGTGGAGGCTCCAGCGACCGGTCTACGGTCTCCGTCAGGCGCCGCGTGAGTGGCACGACACACTAAGGACTACACTTGCGGCTCTTGGGTTCACTCCTTCTACTGCTGACCCGTCGCTGTTTCTACGCACCGACACCTTGCTGCCGCCGTTCTACATCCTCGTGTACGTCGACGACTTGGTCTTTGCCACTGCTGACACTGCGGCACTCGCCCACGTGAAGTCGGAGCTGCAGAAGAGACACACGTGCACAGACCTGGGTGAACTGACAAGCTATCTTGGCTTGCGGATCACTCGGGACAGAGCACGGCGCACCATCACCTTGACTCAGTCACACATGGTGCAGCAGATCCTTCAGCGCTTCCGCTTCACGTACTCCTTGCCTCAGTCCACTCCTCTGCCTACCGGTCACTCGCTCTCAGCTCTGCCTTCGGATGAGTCCGTAGAGCCGAGTGGCCCGTATCCAGAGCTTGTGGGCTGCCTCATGTACCTGATGACCTGCACTCGACCTGACCTTGCATACCCTCTTAGCATCCTTGCACGCTATGTCGCTCCTGGCCGTCACAGGAAGGAGCACATGGATGCCGCTAAGAGGGTGTTGCGCTACTTGTGCAGTACGTCGGGCATGGGGCTAGTGCTTGGAGGGCGAGACCGAGTTGTACTTACTGGACACTCAGACGCTTCTTGGGCGGACGACCAGGCTACTCAGCGGTCGTCTCAGGGTTACACCTTTAGCCTTGGCTCTGGCTCAGTTTCTTGGCGTTCTACACGCTCTTCTTCTGTTCTCAGCTCCAGTTGTGAGGCTGAGATCTACGCCACAGCCATGGCGGCCCAGGAGCTACGCTGGCTGACCTACCTGCTGACCGACTTGGGAGAGGGGCCTCGTTCTCCTCCAGTGCTGTACGTCGACAACAAGGCTGCCATTGCCTTGTGTGAGGAGCACAGACTGGAGCACAGAACGAAGCACATCGCCCTGCGGTACTTCCTTGCTCGAGAGCTGCAGCAGCGCGGTCAGCTTCGTCTGCGTTACGTGGCCACTGAGGCCAACACTGCTGATGTGTTCACCAAGGCGCTTCAGCCTTGTGACCATCAGCGCTTCTGTACTCTTCTAGGCCTTGTGCCTGCTGGTCCTCACTTGCTTACTTCTTGACTCTGTTTGTACTGTGATCTCTATATATATACCTGCATGTTTACACTTGCTAGGTTGTGATCACTGTATCTCTTGCTATATTATGAAACTGCATGTGAACTAGTCTTGTGACCACTTGCTTGTGCTCAGAATTTGTGTGGTATCCTTGAGATCCACCCTGAGCTTGCTTTGCTTTGCTTTGACTGGTCTCATGACCCTGTGGTTGTCTCCCACTGCGCCTATGGGGGTGTGTCAAACATTGTATGTTTATATTGTGTAGGCTGTAGTGGGTTACACCTTAGGGGGTACACAAAGTTAGGGTTTCCTACTTGTTAGGGTCATTCCTGCTCAGTCATTCTGATAGTGATAGGCTTTTGAATTATTGTGCATATTCACAACTAAGATACTATAGAAGACGACGCTTACTATTGTACAATATTTGTTGCACACTTACGTCCTTTGATAGTCGGTCAACAAAGCAGTAATGTTGGCCTTGGCTTGCTCACGCTTATTGTGATCCGATGTGTTACGAATGGTAAAAAGAGAACTACTATGCATTCCTGCCAGTATCAAATGAAGAATGCAAAAGAAATTATGAAGGCGAAAAGTCATAAATGACGCGAAGAGTCGCGTACGGTTGCACCATCTGGACCGTCGGAGCAGAAGCATCGGGCAGGTGCAGGAGCGAGAATTTTGGCAAGAACAGGTTTGTAACCATCTCGAGTTGCACGGTTGGATTTCACTGCAATAAAGGAATGCACCCCTTATAGTGCATGTAGGACGATTGATTTTCTTGGTACTATTACCGTAAGCCCCCAAATATAAAGCCCCTCGAAACTAAACATCTATAGGTGGTATGTGCGGGGAGGATTTTATATTACGATATTTGCAATACTATGTCTCCCTTCTATGCCTTGCCAATATAGCACCCTCCCCACCCTCCCCCCCCCTTTATGAGCCCTAGTTTACAGTAGATGTTTTGGTAATACGTGCAAAACAAACATAAGTTACTTCATGGTTAAGCTAATAATAGGAATCTATCACTTGCAAAGCATTTAAAACCAGGGTCTCAAGTACCACAACTGTTTTGCAGTTGATGGTTTGAGCTTGGCTGCTATTGGTTGACGAGGTGCAAAAAACGAAAACGGGGCAGCGAGGGATGCGAAAGGAACAAAAGTTGTTTGGTGTGTTCCAAACCTACTAGGCACGGAAACAGGTTTCGAGCCGAAGCTAAAGTGCCTGTGAAATGTCGAGAGTTGTGGAAAGTCTCATGTACCTGAAATTTGTTTTGCAATTGGTGCTGAGGCAAAAGAGG